TCTATTGTTCAGATCTTCGAAGCTCTTGCGTTGAACAAGACTATTCGTACATTCGACTGTTCTTCTCACTTGTTTGGAAACAAAGGCGCTTTTGCTCTCGCCAACTTGATCACTATTAATGATACACTCCAGATGATCAATTGGGATGAGAATGCCATTGGAATGAATGGCATCAAGGCTATTGCAGAGGCTCTTAGGATGAATCACTCTCTTTCCGAATTCAAGTTCCCCATTAGTGATTGTGGCAAATTGGATAATGTCGAGAACGTCAGAGATGTCTTGAGTCAGATGGTAAGTTCATTGAACCTTGTTAAGCAAGCGAATTCAATGGGTTCAAAGTGATGGGTAAAGTAATCCATATGGTTCTTGACAGTGTGTTTTCTTCTTCTACCAACTCACCATTATAATACATTTCTTGTTACAACGACATAAAACACTCTATAAAACTGTTATGAATTGAAGTTAACTATAAACAGAACAGTAGACAAGTAATCAAAATAACGTCTTTTGGTCAGGGTTAATTCTAAAGAACTTCTCAAGAAATATCGTCTCGGAGTTTTCTTCCATGAAGTGTGCTAAGTGTTCTAAAAACTCTTTCAGCTCGTCCATTTTGTCAAAGCGTATTTCATAAGCAATCTGGGGCAATTTAGCTACAAGTCGCAGTAAATGTTCTCCACCGTAGTAATCTCCAATTTCGTCGTTTGACTTCACAAGTGTAAGTATTTGTTGATACTGTTTTTTTTCGATTTCATAGAGCAAGAATGGTCCAACCATTTCACAGAACAATGTATAAAAGGAAATAGCGAAGTCTGCAATTTCTTTGTCTTGTAGTGTTTTGATGAAGTCTTGGAGAATCGCTCGTACTGAAGGAGTTCGAGGAAGAGGTACCAACTAGTCATTAGTATATAATCATTACATCGTTTGTATACTACTAATTAATAATTACTAACAAACATAACTATTATTCAACATTTTGTCATTACCGTCCATCAACCGTTCACACAATTTTTGTGGGAGTTCCATTAAAATGGGAATATCCTACTCATTGAGTTTAATCCATTGACGCTTATAATAACAAACATCATCTTCATGTTTCTTTCGAGTCTTTCTTCTGTTCCGGAATTCTTCACACAACTTACACTCGGGAGGACAGCCCGTGTGTTCTTTGGTCTCATGTGCTCTCAGGTACCTCAAAGAGACGTACGTCTTATCACACCCCAAGTGCCTAATTATTAATTCATCCATTCTTCAAACATCGTTCATTGAAATGCACAAACTTACACTTATGGGGTTTCTTCCCGTCCTCTTCCATTTGTTTTATAAGTTTCTTTTTTCTCTTTTTGTTGCAAGAGGTCTAAAATGTTATTGATGATGTTATTTTTTTCATTTATTGTTTTTGATAAGAAATGTTTTACAAAACAATTTCTTCTTTTCCAATAAAACAATAAGAATAAAAAAATAATAGTATATATTATTAAAAGAAAAATTATCTATCATGTATAGTTTTTTATTATAAAATAGACAATGAATGGTTTTAAAAAAAAACAATTAATTTTTATAGTATACTTTAATATACAACAACTTATCTATAATTGTTTCTATACTACTATTGCAAGAAACTATAATGTTTCACTACAAAAAACTATATTTTTAACTAGGGGAAAACAATGAGATGTGAGAACAGAAATGAATAAGATTCCAATCGTTATACATTCTTCTTTGGTGTTTCTTCTTTGGTCTCGGGTGCTTTATTTATTGACTCGTCTTTCTTCAAGTCATCCTTTTTTGGTAATTCATCTCTCTTAGGCGAAACAGCTCTATTATCTTTTTCATCCCTTCTATCTCTACGATCTCTTCCAGAATCTTTATATGAACTTCTTCTAGAATCTCTTCTATCTCTGGAGTCTCTTCTATCCCTAGATCCACTTCTATCTCGGGATCCATGGCGATCTCTTCTATCATAACTGTCACGACTCCTTGAGCGTAATGGTGACCTTGATCTTCTTCTGGTATTTCTTCTTCCTCTTGAGCTCGATCGACTTGAGCTTGAAGAGTAAGAGTCTCTTCTTCTTCTTCGAGACGATCGAGAGTGTGATCTAGACCTTGAACGTCTTCCTCTTGATGGTGATCTATTTCTGTCTCTTGATCTGTCATATCTATCCCCACGACTTCCATATTTTTTTTGTGGACAGTCACAGGCCCAGTGACCTGTTTCTCCGCAAATAAAGCATCCGTCATTCCGGCGGTTCATGGTTCTTTCGCTCTTGGGAGCTTCAATTCTGAGAACATTTCCCCCCAATTCAATGGTCGGGTTCTTCTCTAGCAACGTTTTCGCGTCTTCTTCTTTCCTGTACGTCTGTCTGTAAGTACAAGAGATCTTTATTTATAGTTTAATGTTACCATACCATAAACTATAGAAAATATAACAAACGATGAAACCAAATCCATCACGTAAATTGACATCACATATTTCTCCATACTTCCCAAACTCGGTTTTGATGTCATCGACTGTGGTAGGTCGTGGTAAGTTGCCAACAAAGACTTTTCCTTCCCCCATTTAACTTTTAAGTTTTCTTCAAGTTCTTTATTATTTCTTACCTTTTTCTTTGTATTTAAAACAAAACTATAGGGTTTACTTTCTCTTTTTTGTTATTAATTCGTATTTAGTTCTTTTTTAACACTTCATTTGTCACTTTTTATTGTAATTATTATTAATTGTTTTGATTATTTTATTATTATTTCATTAGATTTATATTTTCTACAATAATTCAATTATTTTGATGTTTCTTAAAAATACAGTTAAAATAAAAAACAACTAAAATTAAACTATATAAGTAGTTTTTGTTTTTATGTAATAATTGTTTATATCATTTTTTGGGAATGTAAAGTTTAAATTCTACAAAAAGATAAAACTCTTTAATTTTTATCTTTTTGGTGTTTTTCATTTTTAATATAAAAACTTTCATTTTTTTGTTTTTCAAATTGAAGTTCTTAAAACCCTGAAATGAATTAAATAGACCTAAGATATTTTTGAGTAAATTCCTTTTAAATTAGGATAGTAATTACCAAAAATAATTTAGGCAAAAATGATCGAAAAGAGAGGTAAAAACTGAATAATTGTATGCCCCGTACTAACGTGAGTTCCTCGTCTTCCTCGTCGGATTCTTCCGATAGCTCTTCCGACAGTTCATCGTCTTTTTCCCCCGAGCAATTGTTTAATTACTCTCGGACAGACAAGAAGCAAAAAAAGAAGGACAAAGAGAAGAAGCCTCGGAAAGAAGGTGTTCGTGAGATGAAGAAACGGAAGAAAGAAGAGCTAGCGAACATCTCCCGCGAGATCTATGAGATGTTTGTGAAGCGCACATTGATTTCTGGTGGTATGACAGAAAGTGAAGCTATGCTCAAAATAGAGAAGAAGTGGAAGAAGGCTGGGAGTGAAGTGAAAAAGACTTTTGAGCAGTTAGCCTTTATCGAGTGTTCACTTATAGGTGACTTGGCTGTGATGAAAAAAAAGCGAAAAGCCGACACGTCACGTCGTAAAGAAGAGTGGCACCCTTATCTTCTCTTTTGCAAAATGAATCGAGAGTCTTTAAGTACCGAAGGTATCTCCGGGTCCACTGTGATGAAGAAATTGTCCGACACATGGAAGACTCTTCCTGAGACTGAAAAGGCAAAGTATTGTGAAATGGCCAAAGAGAATAAGAAAAGGGACTTAGAATTGGAAGGGAATAAATCAAATGTTGTTGGGAAGACGATTAATATCGCAACAAAAATACCCGGTGGAACTGATGATGAAGTTCAAATAGTACCGCAGAGTGTTAACCAAAGCACTAGTATAAAACCAATCGACCGAATAGAAGAAGTCGGGATGGAAAATAATCCAATGGAAATACTGATGGATGGGTTTACCATTGAGAAAGTCCCAGTGCCGTCCAACTTCATCACTGAGATAAGTATCGACGACAAAAATGGAGAAAAAGCAGCAAAGAAGTCTGTTGTTAAGAAGATCAAATAAGTGTAATGAGACGTTCAGCCATTTGTTATTTACCTTTTTGTGAGTTATAAATGAATCCTCACATCATTCAGACTTTGAGGATTAACTTTAAATGATTATTAAAATAACAGTTATAAATAAAATAGTTCATCGTATATAAATATATAAATAAATACTTTTATTCATATTTCTTTTCATTCAATGGAAGAAGAGAAAATTACCAATTCGGAACAAGACGGAAACAATGGCAAGACAACAACACCTGAAAATGTCGAAGAAAAGAAAAATGAAGTGCTGCTTACACAAGCAATTAATACAGTTGAAGACAAAGAAAAACACGAGGCTGAACCAATGCAAACTGAAAAGTCTGAACTTGAAGAGTTAAAAACTGAAGAGTCTAAGCCCGCTGTATTAACTCAAACAGAAGAAGTTGAAAAACACAAGACTGAACCAATTCAATCTGAAGAGTTAAAACCTGTTGAGTCTAAACCTATATTAACTCAAACAAAAGACGTTGAACAAACAGAAGCAAAATTGGACGAGAAAGTTGAGACAAATAGCAACAAGAAAAAACAAGAGAAGCAAGAGAAACAAGACAAGAAGTTGTCCAAAAAATCCAAAAAAGAAGATAAGTTGAGTTCTTGGGGTGAATATGGGCATTCTAAAACAACACAAACACCAAATTTATTATTTTATCGGAATGAATATGGTGGTGTCCCTGCTCGGGAGTGTTATTCATATTCTCCAAAAAAGTCGAAAAAAGAAGAAAAGACCAAGGTTGAAAAGATTTCTTTTAAGACTAAAAGTTCATGGGGAGCACAAGACTTCTTAGACTTTTTGTTATCAGTTCCAGAGTCTGAACGGTACCGAACAATGGAATATCGTCATGATTATGTCCAATGGGTTTATCCCAACTTTGTTGAGTCAATGTTTAATTACAACAGTTATGCATTAACTGAAGATGAAGCTGTTGAACTCCGAAACGACGTAACATGTGCCATTCGCTTTGTTAAGTTATTTCGAATGTTTGTGAACTTTTTAGGAGGCGATATCGTCGACATTGAAAGTGGTCAAATAGCAGTCTTAGAAGACAAAAAAGTACGTGAAGAACGCTTCGACAATTTCAATATGAGTGGTCACAACTATTTACGTGTGACTCGTATTTTCAATTCCCTTCGAGCATTTGGCTTTGCGCAGTACGCAAAATCATTTTGGGACTTTTTTGAAGAGAATCTGAAGAACTTCAAAAATTGTAAATCGTCGAAAGATTCATTCTGGAAAAAGGCATTAGACGGTGACCCGAGAGTGACTGGTGAGCCAAAAAAATTTGAATATAAAGACAGCATTTTTTTCAAATTTGTGGTCGATGTCAAAAAAGACTCAAAAACTAAAGAAAAGTCGTTCGACGAACAACTCACAGATATCGAAAAGCAAACAAGAAATAATAATCTTAGTCATTTTTGATAAATTTGACGGTTGTTTTTTGTGTAACAATTCATAATACAAAATAATAGTTACTATTAATTATAAGTTACTAATACTAAGTAACTAATGATATAGTATATACAAATTATTTGTTAATAGTTATAATCTTAACTAGAAACAAATTAAAAATGAACTAAAAAACCAAATGTCCTTCTCGAGGAACTATGACCGAAACGACGAAGGCGAAGTGTGTCTTGGGTATCTCAGCGAGATTTCGGAGAGTGATGTCGATTACTTCAATTGCATTCGGTCGCAACAGAAGCGCAAATCCGATTTACGAAAGCGCCACAAACCCTACAAGTGGCATTTCAAAGACACGCAAATGTTTTACACTGCATTGCGGAAATACGGCGCGAACATGGAGCTCATTGCAAAAGAAATTAATATCAAGTGTGTTGATCGAAATGTCGTGAAGTTGAAATTCAAATACGAACAAAAGGCGAATAGTTTGTTAATCCAAAGTGCGATGAGGAAGTCCGAAGTGTCGCCCATATACTTTGGGACTTATTGAATGTTTGATTGTGGTGTACATAGTTTCTGTCTTTATATTCTAAACCATATAATATCACAAATGAAAACTTTACAATTAACAACACCCTCCATTTGTCTTCTCTGTGGGTTGTGTTTTTAAGTTCACTGTCTCGACGGTTTCATCTTTGGTTGGTTGTAAAGCACAGAGCCTCTCTGTGATTGCTTTGAAAAGTTCAGTAACATTACAATTCTCTTTGGCAGACGTTTCAAAGCACTGACAATGGTGGTAATCTGCTTTTGCTATCGCTTCCTTTTGTGTCACTTCGCGTTTGCCTAAATCCAGTTTGTTACCAACTATAAATAAGATGACGTCTCCTTTCTCTTTTGAATGGACATCCTCAACCCAATTGTCAATGTTATCAAACGTTTGTCTATCGTTTATATCGTATACAATAACAGCTACGGAACTGTCACGAATGTATGATGGGATTAAACTATGATATCGTTCTTGTCCCGCTGTATCCCCTAATATATAAATATTTGATGTCAAGACACTTTGAATTTGAACGGTTGACCAAAAAGAATATACAAACAAATTTGAAGTTGGACCGTTTGTTGAGTTGCTTCATCCGTTAAGGTCTTGGAACTGAAATCTGTCCCAATTGTTGCCTTAGTGTTAATATTACCTCGTTTATTTTTACAGTTTATTTAAAGATAATCGATATCTTATCATTAATAATAAAAAACAAACCTCATAGTTTGTACAAAAAGAACTCGTCATGAACCGCCCAATAATACAAGTCTTACCAACTATCAGTAAATACTATCGTCATGGATATCTTAGTTGATATGATCACAAACCAGAAGAGTCACCAAGAAAAACTATTTTGTGTTTCTTTAAGCCAGACATTCACAAACCAAATTCCAAGTTCTAAATTCCACTGTTTGTTGGATTATTAGACCACTTTGGAAGTTTCTTATTTATTTAATCATAAAGTAATTTTTTTGTAAGTAACATTTATATTGTGTTTTATGCAAGAAATATCGGGATTATTTGGGTTTGAACTATTTTTTATCTCTAATAGACAATGATTGGTTAATTAATAATTGTATTATAGTTTCATTGATAATTATAAAATTGTATGATAAGAACTATATAGTTATTATATAATAATATTATTATATAAAATAATAAGAAAATTATTAATATATGAAACATTTTAAATAACATGAAACCAATTCAAATAATCTAAATTTCGGGAAATCTTATGTTTATAATATAAGATTCCCCGAAATTTACCAATTTTTTAAAAGTTTAAAAAAAAAATAAATTACAGCCAAAAAAAAGAAAATCACAAAAAATGTTTATTTATCCCTTTAAAAAAATCATTTATTATAACTTAACCATTATATAAAATATAAATAAAAAATTTATTGACAAATAAATGTTTCAATAAATAGTACAAATATACTATTTTTGAATGGTTTTTTATATTAGTTATATAATTTTAAAAATATACAATTATCTATTTCAATCATTTAATTGTATTATTTACTATAAAAAATAAATAAATATAACTAAAATAATAGTAAAAGTGTAATAATATAATAGATTATATTACCATATTAAAAACATTTCGAGTAATTAAAAAAGAAATGATGACATGGAAATTGCAAATTTTTTACACCAAATATAGTTTATATTATTAAATACATTTTCTAAAAGTTATGACAATTATAGATGAAAGTGTTTATATATATGAAAACCAACATGTGACATTAATGAATGAATAGAACTCACTTTGCCTTGCTCTGGATATCAGCAAGGAGTTGTGCTCTCTTTCCTTCTTCTACCTTGACGTCAGCAGCAATGACTGGAGCTGATCTGTCGTTTGATTCGGCATGCTTAAGATCGGCACCCTTCTCAATTCCAGACAACAAAGCGCCTTTGTCGTTCTTCTTGATCTCGACATTCTCGATGACTGGTTTGCTCTTATCGACTGTTTCAGTCTGTTTCAATTTGACATCATTAAGTCCAGCAAGCTTTGAAGCGTCCATTTGGTTCTCCTTTCCCAGTTGTTCTTTAAATATCACGGAATTTACTCAAACCACTTGAAATGACAGAAAGTCCTCGACTTTAATAGTTACACCGCTAGATCTGTTTTTTCAATTGCAACTAACAAACTTTGACGTTTTCCTTCTTCTTTTTTCTAGTTACTTCCATTGTTTATGTATTATAATTAAACTATACAAAATTGGCACATATTATTTTGTTCATTCGACCTCCAAACTTGAAATTAACTCAAGACGAAACCTCAACAAAGAAACAGTTTTAACAGCAAACTATAGTTATAGTAAAAATAAACCAGAAATATAGAAATTGTTTGGTTCATCTTCATCGGCTGCAAACGAGGCTCATCGCATGTTTCCCAGATGAGTTAAAAATTTTTGTGATCAAAGGTGTGACAACCATCCACTCGTACCACACTCTATGCCCAGTAACGTTCCTCCACAACAAAAACTCGACCACATCACCTCGTTTTAAGTCGATTGGAGGCTGAATAGGGAAAAAGAATGGGAACCAACTGAACATGTCTGGGGTATGTTCTCCAGGGACGGTACTTAGTTTCACGTTCTTGTACAACTCGACATTAAATGTGCCAGAGAACCCATGTAAGGCCCCATCCATCTTCGACACAAATTTGAAGTCGACGAATCGTTGGTGATCATCGACTGATGGATGGACAAATGTGAAACACTTTTGTGGTGAAGAGAATGCCGCATAATTGAATTGATTGCATATAACTGGTTGTTCGAAACTGTATTGGTTCTCGAGAAAAGACGTGTAAACCACACTATTTGATATGGGTTGGATGTAATTCGAATAGGTACGTGGGATAGTAACACCATCACTCTTTAAAACAAGAGGAAGAAGCGCATCTAAACACTCTGGACACAACTCGTCATCCCCAAAAGAGCCCAACAATTCACTGATTACGATATCTACTTTATTGGGCATGTTCATCTTCCGCATATCACATCCAATCACCTCAACATTTTTCCAATCGTGTTGTGTACGTTTGCGATATGACAAAGTAGCAACAGCATTCTGATTTTTCTCAACAGCATACACCACACAATTGTGAGCAAAACGGTTCACGTTCAATACATCGATGACCATTTGAACGAGTGGTCCTCGACCAGCACCGGCTATCATGATACGGAACGGGTTTAATGGACTAAATTGTTGGATGACTCCAGCTTTATCGTGGAGTGCTAGTATGAAGGCCATGCGATACTTTTGATATTTGAATGGCTCTTTTTCAATTGTCTCATACACAACAGAGTCCAAATCGTGTGCAAGTGGTTGAATAGGCTTTTCTATAGTATCTCTAAACTCGACTATACCTTTCTCGTATTGTGAAGGCTCTGTGCGTGACGTTTTGAGCCACTCGATATACTCAATCGTGTTCTTTACCAATTCAGTGCTTGGCTCAAAGTTGGAAATAAAGATGGAAATATCAAAGTCCAACAAATTGTGGAGGAAAATGTCGTTCTCCCGAGTCAATTTTCCGTTGTCTTGGACAATCTGTTTTGCGAAAATAACACCAGCTACATTTTCCGCTCGCCACACTTGAAGTAAGTCAAACTCTACGGTGAGATTCTCTTGAAGACTTAAAAGCGGCCGTATGTTTGTGTTATATCCAATGACCTTTCTGATGGTGTTCCACATCTGCCAGCCATCTGCTGCCAATGGCACTGTGATCCACACGGGACATCTTGACAAGTTGCAAATCGTACTGACATATCTATAATAATCGATGTTGATATTGGATGGAAGAGGTACTACAAGTCCAAACACACCGATGTGGTTAGCCCATCTCACTTCCGCGATACAGTCTTGAATACTTTTCACTCTTTCAAATGTAGTTGTCTTGCCAAATACTATATGTTAATTATTAATTATTATTATAAGTCTTTTACTCACGTTTAATAGTAAATGTTTGGTTATTCAATAGAACAACAAACTACATGTGGAAACGATTGAGGTGTTAAAGTCGGTATCAGAAAAAGAAGGCTGGAAACGTAAACCTTCATTCAAAGTGTCAGGGGGTCGATTCAGTGGAACACAGTAATAAGGAGTTACCGTTTGGAGACTGCGTAATATATCCGAAACTCTGTCATATTCTATGTCTTCGTTGCTTAAATCGTAAATCACTGGGACTTGGGGATTTTGAAGAGCTTGTGCCATACAACAGCTTTTGTTCAATTTTTTTTTTTCTCTTTCTTTTCCAATTTACCATATTATATAATTACTTTTATTATAATATATAGGTTTCAACTCCACATTAATTGGGTTCACTTTTTCGTCTTGTTCTATCAAAAAGTTTGGTTTTATTGTTTGGTCTTTTGTAATTATAACCAATGGGGTTTACTAGACTCTAGTATAGTAATTTATATTGTTTTTAAAACTAATATAAATACTATTGAACTTAAAAATCAAAAGAATGCAACCATATGGTAACATGGAGTACCCATTCGTCCCTCAACAATTTTACGCCCCATTCACGATGCCTCAATTCTCACCTCTCAGAGCAATCCCACAACAACGGCAGTTCCCTTACGTCCCCGAACAAAACTTTACAACGTCATATTTCACCGATGTGAACCAATCAAATTTACAAGAAGAGATGATGAAAATCAGCGAGTTGATAGACAACTACCCATACGTTTCGATGGATACGGAATTCCCCGGGTTCTCGAGCAAAACATCATCGACATTACAAGACTCCACAGACCCCGACGAACACTACGCATTCTTGAAATCAAATGTCGACGACTTGAAGATCATTCAGGTTGGGATAACCCTTCAGAACAAAAAGGGGCAGTACCCTGACGACGTCAGAACGTGGCAATTCAACTTCAAATTTGATGCAGAGTTTGTTTATATTGAAAAGTAGTTAATGTTGATGAAATGAATAACACAAAGGAACGACGAGTCTTCTTCTGAGTCCATTCAACTGCTTCAAAAGGCTGGCATCAACTTTTCCGAATTCAAGAAGTCCGGCATCCTTCCCGAAGACTTCGGCGAAGCGATTATGGGGTCTGGTCTTGTCCTCAACGAAAACACGCATTGGCTGACATTCCACAGTGGATATGACTTTGGCTACTTTTTGAAGCTTTTAACATGCGAGAAGCTCCCATCTAACATAGATCTGTTCTTGAAAAAGCTGCGTATCTTCTTCCCGAACATCATCGACTTGAAAGAAGTTACAAGTCGACTTGGACAAGGGTATCATGGTAGTTTACAGTCGATTGCGTCTGGGCTTGGCGTGCAACGGATAGGGACAATGCATCAGGCCGGTTCAGATAGTTTGATCACAGGAGGGTTATACTTCAAACTCAAGGAAAAGTACCCCGAGTTTTCCGACGACACTTTTAATGGTCTATTGTTTGGGTTTAATGCCGAGTGATTGTGAATTGAAAGTCGTTCATTTAAGGTTTACGAAATCCAAAAAGTCAATAAAGGCAAAGAACTTATTTTAGAGAAAGGTGAGCAAGAGCAGACTTGATAGCAGTGAACCAAGCAATAGAGCAATCGCTAATCGAAGAAGAAAGAGTGATTGTTTCGGAGAGAAGGTCGTTGTTACTTTCTTTAATAGAGAACATGTTATACACAAACTTAGTATCATCTTCCACTTCTACTATAGTGTCGTCATAAAAACGAATGACTTGTTCAACTTCAAATTTGGCGTCGTGTAAATCCTTTAACTCGGGAATTCTAAGTAACGACTCAAAGAGGGTTTCTGATCGAGCTCGGATTGGTTTGCCATCAAGTGACGTGATCTCAGTCACTACAAGGACATCAGAAAACAAGAAGAAGTACTTCCAGACCGTTTGAAGTGAGACGCGATTCGTCACTACATACATCGGCCCACAACACAAAAACTCTCGCTTCACCTCTTTCAACATAAACCCTGTCAGTAAAGATTTGACATATTGCATCCTCTCGTCAGCCTCGTATTCATGCCCCTTCTCATTAATTGTCGTGGCTACCTTTTTAATGACTTTATGGGCTTCAACAAGTCGTGGCGCATCACCAAATGACATTGAAATGTTCTTGAGTAAATCGGTGATCAACATGACATACCGCGGTGTTCTCTGAATTGGGGTGATCAAGTACTGTTGGATGCTTTGGACATGACAATCGCCGTGTGACTTTTTATACCCGTCGGCAACTTTAGCGGTGAGGGTTAAAGCGGAGGTATCCATGAACGAGGTGATCTTTTCTAAGTACGTTGGGTAATTAAAAATATATTTCGCACTATTTTCAAGGGAAGGAGAAAATTTGACGATGATATCACCGATAAGAGGACACTCGGGGTTTGTCACAAGCGATCCGTTTAAGTCCGCAAGGAACTTATTATGTGATTTTTGTATTTCATCAATTTGCTCTCTGATTGGTGTGAGTTCTTTCGCCATTTTCTTCGATGAAGAGATTAACGTGTCCAAATACACAGTAATGATGATATCGAGTCCTTGAATGTACGACTTCTCTGTGTTGATCAATTCATTGACCACCTGTTTATAATGCGTTCGATGTTTATCTTCCATTTGAAACGTCTTCATCTTCTCATACAAATCGAAATCTTCGGTTGCTGTTGCCAAGTCGTGGTGGTGCGGTTCGTAGTAATATTGAATCAATTCGTTGATGATAAGACCCGGCACTTTACGCAATTCAGACATCAAGACTTTAGTGTTAGTATCAACAGAAGTATTAAAACGAAGTGATTAAACAAACCGTTTCTCTTTGCTCTCAAGTCTTGTTTCACTTTACACGACCGGTCCATAATGAAGTTCAATTTCATTTGAATTCTTTTGTTTTTCTTAACAGTTACCCACGAAGTGGTTGTGTCATTTTTCCATTCATCTTCAATTTGTTCCATTGGCTCGTTATCTTCATAATGAGTGACAGTGGCCATTGTAGTTCTGTTCATGCTTTTGTTCATCTTGGGCAGTGGCTTTCTCCCCGTCATGTCGAGTTTGTTTTCTTGCGTAAGTGAACGTGGGTGGTTTTTGTCTGGTAAAAAGTCTGGTTGCTCAAGTGTGAAGCAGCTGCTCCTCAGGTTGTTTGACATGTTCTATTTTTGAGTTCTTTTCATATTTTTCTTTTCTTGAATGTGGGTTCAAATATATCCATTGTTGTGCAAATAACAATTTTGATAGCTTGTCAATGATATCATAAAGATAGATTCGACTAATTTTTCGAATACTCCAACACTAATTTCTCAATAATTTCATTTTTCTTTTATTCAGACAAAGTTAAAATTCATTGTAGTCGATGCAAAAATGGCGTTTTAAATACCAGATTACTACACATTATGTTAATAAGTATTAACGTGGATACATTTGTTATAATTTGTGTCGAGTTATTTATACATCTGAGAAGACTACAAAAATAGGAGTTCTATTGAAACGTAGAAACTTGCTTGGGTGTCGAGTAAGATTCGGGAGATGTAATTAGGAGTGATGAAGATACTATTTCCAAGTAACTTTTTATTAAATACAAACACATCAACTAATTGAAAAAAACCAAAGAAAAAACATCGAAGGAATTGATTAATTGAAGAACTCAAAATAAAACTCAATGACCGAGCGAAAGACAACTGTGAGTGTCCAGTCACTCCAACCGTCACAATTTTCGGGGTGGGGGACAAAACAAGGCGGCAAATGGAAAACGTGGAAACGACGGTTCTTTGTATTGAAAGATCGTAAATTGTGGTACTTTGAAGCACCAGACTCACTTTCTGCAAAAGGGTGGATTGACTTACCGCCAGGAACGGATGTTAAAGATGAGTCTGATCGACCAAAACGACTTGCTTTCTCCATCAATTCTCGTGGTGTCAAGTTTGTTAAAAAATAATAAAACACTTCCAAATGCAATGCAATAACATGAAGAGGTATCAGAACGTTTCACTTGACTGTCGATACGGAGAACGACTTAGTTGCGTTTTTGGATGGGTTGAATAAAGTGTTAGGCAACGTGAAATCGAAGAAACGCGAGGACACCCTTATCGACGAACACTCGCTTTTCAAAATGGCAAATTCATTCACAACAGGAAACGCTACAGACAACATCTTAGTCTTACGAAGTAAAGTCCAATGGTTGAACAACGGACAAATAGCTTCTTTATTGGAGTGTGCAGTGACTGCTCTTCCTGAGGACAAAACCACAATCGACTTTTCAGTTTCAATCAACTCCGACTTGTCTGCAGTTGGTCTTCGATTTGCTGGGGAACAAGGCCCGATGTTACAAAGTGTTGTGGACACATTTTGGGCTGTCGGCACCCCTGCGTCTGAGATCGAACGTTTAAATTTGACTGGTGTTCGTATCGACCCGAAGAATTTAGGGATGTGGCTTGATTTATCGAAGAGAGGAGGAATGGATGGGGGATGGTTTATGATCACGGACCACACGCCAACCATCGTCAATTTGATTTCGGACGGTGGGAAGATTAATGATAAAGTCACCATGTTGATGGGCATCAACAACATTAAAACCATTGATTTTGTTGGAAGAGATCTTGGAGTGACTCCACCGCGCCAAGCGAATTACCGGTTTAAAATCGATGGACACGATAGAGCAACTATTGTGAAGGATTTTTATGAGAAGTGTAATTTGAAAGGATTCAACTTGTTGATACAGAAAATCATTAACGACGCGCCTAACAGAGAAGTCTACGTCTCTGTTAAAACAACGAACATCGACTTGGTTAAGATCACGACTATACTCGAATCACCAACACCGGAAATGTTACAAGACGCCGTTCAACTTGTGAAGGGATTTTATGTCGATTCCCATAATGAACTCATTCAGGCGTTTGGTAACCCAATTGCGTTGGAAATCAGCGTCCTTCGGTACGGGTACGGATATGATGTATTCAACGAAGGCTTGGACGTGTCGCTGGTGTACAACTTACAAGACGACAACATCACGACGTTCCCATTCAAAAAGTCACCACATCCCGCCCCTTCAAAATCAAAGGTGAAAGATGACAACTCGAAACAACCTGTTGCAAAACAAGAAGTGAATGAAGATCAGGTGGGGCATCTTTATGACCAAGAATTACAGCCACTTGCCCTTCCAGAAAAATCAGAAAGGTCACCCCGAGCGAAGGAAGTAACTTCTATTATGACAGTAAAGGATATCGGACAGAGTGTTGCTAAGGAAATTGGGCCAATCAGTCCTAAAGAACCCGTTGAAGGCTCAGATGTTCCTCCACCAGTCCCCCCTTTGTCCCCAAGAAGAACAGCCCACAGTGAGAAACCAACAGGAAGCGCACCACTCCCACCTAAAAAGCCAGCCCCCAAACCTGGACTTAAGAAGAATCATTCTGCTCTTCAGATTAACCCACCCATAATTTAAGCTTTGTTCTAGTTGTTTTAATTACGCTGAAAGTATTACTATTACGGTAATAGTATTACCATAGAAATAACTGTGGAAAGAACAATAACAAGATGAATAGGCTTCGCACCCAAGAATTTTCTTATTAAAAATTAGTATTTAAAAAAGCTAATAAAACGGGAAAGAAAAATTGACCCGTTTTATTAGAGTTTTTCAATACTAATTTTTGATAAGAAAATTCTCGGGTGCGAAGCCTAAAGATGAACCAACAAAATAAACTCAATCAAAATTTTATCTCCAGTCACGAGTTCCACCATTCATCTTTCCACTGATCAACCACTTGGGTCTTAAGTTGTCGATTTTGTTGTCCGACTCTCCAGTCTTGCTCTTTCGTTGCAACGAGTTTCTCCCAAGTCTTCTGATTTTCTCGGCTTTGTCTCTCATTGCCTGTGTGGGGAATGCGGTTTCTTCTCCCTTTCTAATAAGGGAATTTGATCGACTTCTCTTTCTAGATACAGAACGTCCTTTTGGTGTTTCATAATCAATATCTTCGTCATCGTCCATGAAAGGAACTTCTCGACCCCTTTTAACAGAGAGTGTTCTTCCTCTTGATTTGGCTTTGACTTGACTCACTGACTTTTTCGCAGTCTCCGTGTCGATTCCAAGGTCTTCCAAATGTTCTTGAAGTTCATCGCGAGTTCTTCCTCTTGTTTGTAAACTGATTTGGTTCGCCTTGTTGCCCTTTTTGTTATGAGAAACACTCTTTAACACCAGTTGTGCATCAACTATTTCATCGTAGATTTCTTGATCTTCAGGGTTCAGTCTCATTGAGTCATCAAACTCAACAGCAGCAGTCAGGAGTTGTTGCTCTTCTTCCTTTTCAAGTTCTTCCAATTTGGCTTCGATGTTTGGATCAACGTAATCAGCAATGTTCATACCATCGACTATTTCAGGAATAACATCGTACTTCCACTCTTCATTATCTAAGATATATCCTTCTCTATCTTTCATGTATTCTTGCCATGGGATCTCACCTCTTTCATAGGCAGCATAGTCTCGTTCAAGTCTCAATAATTCCTTTTGACACTGCGTCATGTCCGGCTCTATTTCGGATGTCTCCATTCTCTTCATCTCAGGAGCAGCAAGAGATGGCCTTGCAATATCGTCTCTCTTCTTTGGCATCGTCACTCGGAGCTTGTTCAAAAGTAGTTCTCCCTTCTTTCCAGAAAGTTTGTCAACGTTCACACTGTCCTTCAACATCGAGCACGCCTTCACTTTCAAATCACCATACAACTCTGGCTTATAGCATGAGCATTGGCAGACTAAAGTCGACATTGCAGTCAACTCTTGAATCGTTTTTTGGTCTTCAGCGTCAAGGGATTCAATGGGTGCCAAGTCAACCTTGTTGAGGACTAAAATGACTGGCTTTTGGTTGAAAAGTGGTCTCATCGACTTGAACAACGAGGCTTGTTGTTGGATGGTGTAACCACAGTTAGCACTGACATCCATCAAGTACAAAACACAGCACGAAAGATGAGCCAAAGCAGTGATAGATTGCATTTCAATGACATTTCTCTCTTCAAGTGGGTGGTCCAGAATACCCGGAGTATCAAGGACTTGCCACTGAGTGTAGTTATAGTCGGTGTGTCCGACAAAAAGTGATTTGGTTGTGAATGCATACGGCTGCACATCGACATTTGCATTTGTGAAAACGTTCATTAACGAACTTTTTCCAACGTTTGGGAAACCAGCAAGGATGAGCGAGCGACTGACTGGATCGATACTTGGAAGTCTTCCAATGTGTTGTCTTACTTGTTCCAAATAGGCCAACGACGCATTCTGTTGCTTAACAATAGAAGACATACGACCAAGTGCGGCTCTTTTCAATTGTTTGCATCTGTATAATGAATCGGCGTATTTAAGGTATTTGACGTATTCTGTTCCAACACCATCAACAAGCTTTTTTGCGACAGAAAGTTGAGCAAGAGCCAACTTGTAGTGATCTCTGTCATACAAAACGTTCATCAGATCGCCATAAAACGGATGGAGATCGTCTAGGGTTGGAAACTCTTCGAGGATCAAAGCCAATCTGTCGTGGTACGACTGAGAGCAGTACTTGACTTTTCTCATGTAAAATGCACGAATACGATGAATTGCGTACTGTTTGTGAACAACAGTCGGGGTGTGTTTGTTTGTGCCACTCAGGACAATGTCTTGCAAACTACTTGCTGTTGGGACCGGGGTGATTTTCTTGAAGGTGTACAACGGCATAGGGTTCCTTTGAAATTACTGTTTGATGGATTGACTTAAGACCTAACCCTTTATTTTTTTTGATGCTTGATTTTTGATGTTTTCGATTTTTGTTTTTTAATAAAGAATACTATAAAATTAGTTTATTTTATGGCAACTTATGGGATTTCAAAGGGTATGTCCCAGGCGTGGTTAATCGGCTCTCCAACACTTTTAGGCGCTTCTTTATGTCAGTTGTGTTTTTATTTTATGTTGGTAACAAACATGAAGATGTTTAACGCATTTTGTCAAGTCGCCATACATGTAATTCCTCATTTCATTGTTTTCAGTTGAAAATCTCTTCCGTTTTGGAGAAATTAGGCTTGGTCTTTTGTGTTCACTTTTACGAGAAAGAGTGCCTTCTTGAACAATTCTGATTTTTTTGTCGATTGTTACAATATTATTCTATATTATGAATTCTTGCAGAAAAAGGTGGGTCAAAACAAACTCTGAGGTGGTTGATTTCATTCTCTAAAAATTCAATCTTCTTGTTCTCGATTTCTGTATGTCTTGCGATAATTGTTTCAAGTTCGATCCCCACTGTTTCGTGCCTTTTCAAAACAGTGACAAGTTTATTTCTGTCTTGTATAAGTTTGTTGATATATTTCAATAATGTTGTAGATTTGTCGTTTTGTTCGTTTTGTTGATGTTGCCTTGGAAAAGCAAAATTCCGACCTTCATGCGTTTTTTTCATCATTTTTACCTCTAAAAAACATCCTTAAATTTTGCGCGATTCTACTCTTTCAATCTTTTTTCAATCTTATTTCAAAAAAAAGATAAACTATAATTTATAAATTTTAATTTTAATAACTATCATAATAACTATTTCAATTTGTAAAAATTATTTTTATGATTAAAAAATGATTATGATCTATTTTAAAACTAGAACCAATATTTTTTCATAATTCAAAAACCGTTTAAACAATAAAAAAATTATAAATAATTATATTACTTCTTTAAAAAATCCTTTAAATAAAATAACAAAAACGAAAAAAACGAAATAAAAATAAACACAAAAAACGATTTTGAATAGTAATTCAATTAATAAAAAAACAATAATTATATAATACAAAGAAACAAAATGTTGAGAAAAAACACAAGAAATTTCTTTTGACTATTCGCCTCAAATTCTTGATTCTCATTGATAAAAACACTCTTATCCAAATTATAATCACAAACTATAAAATGATACATTTTCATTAATAAAAAACTCCACTTAAACTTAAAAAGAAAACCAATATGGTCGGAACGATGTCCATGTTATTAACTTTTCTCTCATTTTTTGTTGTATTGTGTTTATCGGCTGATCTTCCGGGGAGTATATGTTACCAATCTGACACGAACAACGCAACATTATTCTATAAGGCTTTAGTTCCAAGTACATGTGTTGTGCCGCAAAACGTTGAATTTAAGTGGAGTGGGTCATCTGTTATTGGAGCAGATTACACTTTTAAATCGGGAGCTGCCACATCAATAGGCAAACATTCGCTCACCATCTCACAGAATTGTCGAGGTGATGTAGCTGGAGATAAAGCAAATGAAAATTCGGTATCGAAAAATTCACTTATCTTTGAGGACGGCCATGGAATGGACTATTTTGTATTGAACGAACAAGGGATTCGAGCATTTTGGTATGTTGAGAACAAACACTTAGATGGTGTCGTGTTTGAATTTATGACACGATCCGATGTATGGGCTTCTTCGGTTGTCTTAATTAATTCCGACAAACCACTATACGTCTATACACAGGGATACGAATTTTTTAATGTAACAAGACTTAACCCCGAGGCGTTTGTTTTGTTCAAAGTCATCAATGAGGACTTTATAAACAACGCGGGAATCACACACCCATTCGTGAGAACAGAAAGAATCAATGCAAAGGATCAAACGTGTGTGTACCAATACAACGCTTTCAATTTTTCAGCGCCTGATGTGAAGAACACGGACTTTAAAATGATTTCGATATGCAATAGAGGAAGTATTGATCGATACGTCCAATGCTTTTGGTCAAAAGGAAAATATACAGATTGCTCGTGCAAGCCTAAAGTACAAGAAGGAACTATTCGAACAACGGGATCGTTTAATTATCCCGACTGTAGATATCTGTCAAGACTCTATGACTTCAATTTGTATACTAACAACGAGTACGTCATATTCGATTCATATAATACAACTACTTGGGCGGATTTCTTGATCCCACAGAGAATGAATTCACTCACCTTTGAAGTTGATGTCACCGACGTGCCAAATGTCACGTTTCTCTCGATATTAAGCTCATTCTTGTTACCAAATTTCCCATTCACAGTGTATGGTGGACTTAATGTTACGGAAGAACTTACAATAGACTCCGTTGCAGACTATTACATTGAACGACTTGTGTTTAATACAATCTCTGTCGATAAATATATCGATGATGGTGCAATTGTAATTGCAACAAATTTAATAAATGACACTAATAGAGAGCTGATGGAAGGTCAAAACTTATACCCAGTCTGTGGGGAGAAAGGGCAGATACAAAGGTGGATGAAATTGGATACATTGACAAAACCAGTTGATTACAATGCAATACGAGACTGTTCGTGTACAGTGAAGTCAGACACCCTCCTCGACCAATTTGACTGTAACGAAACCTCTTTAATTGAAACAAGTCAACTTGAACTGATTATTGAAAAGTCTGTATTTGATGGTGGAAATTTCAACCGATTTTGGGCTAAAATGGAGTTCAAAGGGAATGGAGGAAGAACGTTGAGAGGGTTAAGCCACACTGTACAAAATTGTATATTCTTGTCAGATAAGACGTATACAATTGCAACGAATTTAACATGCAAAAATGCCGAAATTCAAGATCGTGTCAATCTTATTATTGAAGAGTCTCACGCATTTGTTGCGGAGACAATTACACTCACTTCAATATATAAAAACTTGAACGGGAAACCAGTTTTTTATGCTCATAACAAGATATTGGAGTCAACTCAAGTATTATTAGCTGATTCACAGAATGAATGTTTAGAGTTGGTTGAAAATGGTGAAGACTATGGTTCTGGAACCATCGAAAGCGACACATCTACACTTGTGAAGATCAACCAATTGTTGCGAGTGTGCCCAACAAGTAAAGTAGAGAAATCTGTGTTATGCACTGCTACTAAACCGAGTTACCCGAGTGGATTTGATTATTTGTATTGTCCGTGTAAAGGAGAATTGTGCACTGTCGCCATTCCAAGTGATCTTACATCACTTGTCTCGTCAGAGATCACTTCTTTTGATGGGACTATTAATGTCAGTGGAGATGTTTTAATATACAACTTCAGTAGAATTAGGAATGTGACTGCTTTGCCTTCATCTGTATCAACTGTGACAGTTGATGGTACTTCTTTGACAATTGATAATGTCGAAGCAAGTGATTCGGTTACAACACTGATTGCGAAGACGCCACTTGTGCTCAAAAACGTGCACTCACTAGTATCATTAAAGACGTTGAGTACAATTACTTTGGATTATTCGAATGTGCTTTTAGACAAAGTGACTGAAACTGGAACTGGTGTCATTACTTTATCATCATCTGTCTCGACAATAACAGTCAATTCTATTGAACCCATTTCAACACAAGCAACAAAACCAATTTTTGTTGTTCAACCAACCACCGCCGAACTGACACTTGGGAACACTCCAACTTCAACTTATGTGAAAATGGTTATGACGAACAAATATAGAAAGGTTGTATACGGAAATATAACATGTGATAACCAAGCTGTTGTTATTCCAGCCACAGCTGGTGGCGTGATTTCAGTAGAAGATTGTAACAAATTGGGTCTTTCAACACATAATTGTTATTATAATGGAAATGTGTATGATATTTCGTCTTCGGACTCTTCAAGAGACTATTCGTGTCCATGTATTGATTCAAATGTCTGTGTGTTAACTATATCTTCAGCAACCATTTCACTCGAAGTTCCAGCAACAAAAGAATTGTATGTTGAAAGCAGTCCAAAACTGATTATGAATAGTTTGTCGTTGATTATGTACTCTTCATGTTCAGAGTGTGCTGTTGTTATTCAAGGGAACAACAATTTCATTATTCTATCTGCGGTAGAGGGATTTCAAATTAAGTCCGAATCAACAACAACAGAAAAAGGCAATGTCATTGCTACAAAGACTCGTGCAATTGCTTTTGACGCGGGAGGACTCAAAACTGGAAGTACATTAAAAGGGTCACAACTTGTAGCAAAAGTGGTTGCAAGTGATAAAGCGTACTGCACAACAATGCGCTTTAAAGAAGCTGCCACTTGTATGATATGTGGTGACATCATTGCAAATTCCAATGGAAAATGTGATAATAGAGCGGCTGTTGTTAATTGTGCTACTACGGCTTCTTCTGGACATTGCACATCGTGTGCTGATGGATTTTATTTAGTTGGAACGACACTGAATAACCAACGATGTGAAGCGTGTGGGAATTTGTGTACAAAATGTAGTAGTAACACTGAATGTATTCTTTGTAATGCTGGGAGTAAGTTATCTGGAACAACATGCACAAGAATTACAGAGGCTGATTCATGTGATTATTATTCTGGTGGAATTTGTAGGAAATGTCCCGGGAAGAAAATGACAGATGGGACTTTTCAGTCGTGCACTGAAAGTTGTAGTGCTTCATGCGATACGTGTTACACACTTTCTACAGAAGAGAAGTGCCCTGTGTGTACAATTTCCGATAAATACACTCGTGAAGATGAAGCAAAACAAAGTTGTTCGCAGTCAGTTGGAGCATCTTCTGTCTCAAACAAAGGGGCTATGAGTTGTGAAAATGGATATTCAATCGGTTCGGGAAAGTGTTCCACATGTGAAGCGTCATGTGCCAAATGTTCTGGAGTGACATGTTACGAATGCAAAAACAGTTCCCAGATATTATTGAATGGAATTTGCACCAACACCAATTGCAAAACAGTTTCAAATTTCAAATGCTTGAATTGCGCTGAGGAGAGTGGGTCAACAAAAATGTATTACGATGACGCTGACGGACAGTGTAAACCCGTTGATGACTCGTGTAATGGCGCGACATTTTTCGGTGTTTGCATGAAGTGTGTGAATCAACAGGATGTGGTTTCAACGGATAAAAAGACGTGTGAGGCTCCCAAGACAACAGCTCTTATTAAAAGAGAGACGAGTGATATATGTGAGTTGTACTTGTTTGGTATATGTCAGAGATGTTCAAGTCAATATTATTCATCTGGTAATGAGTGCAGAAAGTGTATTGATAATTGCAATTTGTGCAGTGATGGATCTTCGTGCAGTTTATGTGACGACAAATACACTTACAATTTTCAAAGCAAAACGTGCGAGCCATTAACTCTTGAACATTGTGATAATATATACAAGTCTGTCTGTATTCACTGCGAATATGGGTATTATGCTTTCAATGGAAGGTGTCAACAGTGTAATACCAAGTGTGCCACGTGTGTTTCATCAACTACATGCTCAAGTTGTGCAGAAGGGTATTACTTAAATGGCACATCTTGCTTGGATAGTGAAGAAGCTTCAATCAATTTTTGTGCCACTTACTCTCCGGAAGGCTGTTTGAACTGTACGAGTGGATATTACTTGGATGCCGGCAATTGTCACACATGCAACGAATTTTTAGTTGGGTGTATGTCGTGCAACAAAACGTCAAAGAAGTGCACTTCGTGTGGAAAAGATTATGTGATGACATTGGATGGGTGTGTCAAGTATGATACTATTGAACATTGTAAACGTGCAATTGATGGGTATTGCGACGAATGTGATGACTGGTATGCGCTGAGTTATAACAGACAACGTTGTGAAAAATATCCCCTTGGTTATGGTGTTGCTCTTATTATAATAGCCATTGCGATATTCATCGCACTCTTAATTGTTCTTTGTATTATGCTTTATGTGTATTACCAATACAGAAGCAAACAATTGGAAGAAACAAGAGCTAGCCGTGTATTCCCTTTGAAGCACTGTGATGTTGCTTTAATGCCATATCCAACTATGGAACAAATTGTCAGCGAAGCAACCTTGATTGAGTTCCAAGAAAAAATGGAGTTGAACAAAGAATATATGAAGCGGTTCTACATTGGTAATAAAGGAAGTGACGAAGTTGAGTTGCAGTTTGTTATTGACAAGGACGAGAGATACAGAGTGGACTTTGAACCACACAGTTGCTTATTGAAGAGTGGGATGTGCATCAGTGAGAGAGTGTTGATATATCCAAACTGCTCCTTCACAATCCAGAATGCATTCAAAGTGAGAGTATTTGTCGATAACCAACTTAAGGAAGAATTGTCGTTCAAACTCAGCGCAAACACCGTCGATTCACTCTTCATCGATCCACACTTAATTAACATTGAGACGAACATGAGGTCCAATTATAAGATCACTGTCAGCAAAGCGAATTACAACAATCAAAGTGTAGTGGTGCGTAACATACGGTCTTTTGACTTCAAGTCCGATGAAAAGAAAATCTACGACGAGCCACTCAATATCTTAGAAAATTTCCCACAAAGCAGTTACCTTACAAAACTCATTGGAAAGGTGTTGCTAGACAAAACACATTTGATAGTAACCGAATTCGCGACATTCGGCACTTTGCAAGACTTCATTAGTGCAGGAAAGGAAATGGCGTTATCAATGAGGTGCAGAGTGCTACTTGATGCAGCAAAGGGTATAGCTGTGTTACACGCAAAAAATTTCCTTCATTATAACATAAAGCCTGCCAATGTGATGTTAATGAGCACCGACGTGAATGATGTTTCAATTGTGAAACTGACTGATTTTGGGTATCAAGACACTTACATGAAGTTCTGGAACCACAGAACTGAAGTCAAAGAGCGTCCAACTTACATAGCGCCAGAAATCATTACAGGACAGAAATATACATCGAAGACAGATGTCTATGCTTTTGCGGTAACAATGTACGCAATTGCAACAATGAAAGAGCCTTTCCCGGTCTCAGAGTACAAGTACCCATGGTCCATCTCCAAGTTCGTGTGTGTCGGCCGCCGTCTTGAACAACCCGCTAACATGTCAAAGCAGCTTTATAACATCATTTCAAACTCATGGGAACATTGTTCTGCTGACCGGTTTACCATCGACGAAGTTGTTCACGACTTAAAGAAGGTTCAAGAGAACTCTTACTAATTACATTTTTAGTTTTTAATAATACTGTTCTGGCGGTGTATAACATAAGTCCACATTACATTCGCTATCAATTAATTCAATTGTTATTATAATGGAAACTCAGTTTGAATCCTCCCAACTCCATGACTGAGTTATCCGTGAGTATAGCAGATGCTCCCTTCTCTAATAAATTCGCTCCATTCACAATACTTCCATTTGTCCCTTCATTCACAAACACATAGAAGGAGAGTTGCTTGTCGTATCGAATCGTCGCGTGTTTGTGTGATATCGAACGCGATGACGTGTACTGACTCAGATTAACAAAACTTGGATCGGGGTTACTCGTTCCTCTCCCCAGCGTAATTGCGTCAATTCGCTTCATTCCAAAGTCAAATACTATGGCGTCTCTGTCATCGCACATGAGCTTTGCGTGATTCCCACGCACCTTCCTCATCGGCTTTTTTTTCTCCAAAAGCTCCTCGTCGTCGGACATCCTTTTCTTCTTCTTCGACTTTTTCTCCTTCTTTTCGTCCACATTTTTTGCGATGGGTTTCAGTGTTTCGTGTAAAGAAACGTCTTGTGGTGCGACTAATAGTCAAATCAACACATTCACATTCCTACCAAATCAACGCAAAACAAACGTAGTACCCGAATTGCGTTATCAGCATAGTACTTCTTCACTACTTCGTCTTTCATCATCTTAATTTGAGTAAATTAATTCTGTAATATATAAGAGCAACAAACTGTTTTGAATTGATTTGGTTGTATTTGTTGTCTAAGTTTTGATGCTTCGGTGTTGACCTATTAATTATTTTGTTGTCTCGATTGGATGTATGAATACGTCTTAACGCAGTTGATAGACTTCCGTAATGACAAACTTCGTTCATCCTCATCCAAAATGCGTACTCGATAAG